ACGGGTGAGGATGAAGAAGACCAACGGCGGGGTCCCACTTGTCGGTGAGAGCAGAGGAGAGGATAAGGGTGCTTGCGCGGCTTGGTGCTGGGCCTACGGGCTGGCGCAGAGAAGGGGGAAAGGAAGGGAGCTGGGCTGGGCAGGGCGGTTGGCCGGGAAAAGGGAAAGAACGGGAAGGAGGGGCTGGGCCGCGGAAATGAGAAAAGAGGGGGAAGAAGAGAAGATGGGCCGTGGGAGAATAGAAAGGGCTGGCCGGCTGGCCCAAAATGAGAGAGGGAGAAAGGAGGGAGAAAAGAATTGTTTTTCTTTTTTTTTTCAAACCCATTTCAAAATCCAATTCAAACCAATCTGAATTCTTTTGAACCTCTAATCAAACGAATCAACATAGAACAAATATGCACCAGCATGTATGCACAAGCATGTGATGATTTTATATTTGATTTTTAAATTCTATTAAAATTATTATTTCTCTAGGTTAAATGCTCACAAAAATACGAAAATTAATTCAAATTCACCTATTTAAAATGTAACAAAATTTTAGGGTGTTACACGCACGCTGATATAGCCGCCATCTGAAGAGGGAGATATCGGATTTACCTTTTGATAATGGAGCGGAGGCAACCCAGCTGCTGGTTCGGGGGCTAGGTGCGTCCATGGCGGGGGGAGGTGCAGCCGTGCCGTGGGTAGGTACGGCGGCGGCGTAACGACCTCCACTACAGCGAGGAGCATCAGATGCGGCCGCCACCGCCTCCAGACCCGGAGAGAGGGCCCTCCGCTCAGCCAAGCTGGCGACACAATATGTGGCTGCCGCAGCTGAGCGGGCGGCTCGGGCGAACAGCAAGAGGGCTTTCGATGCCATGGCGAACGATGAGAGGATAAATCTGGATGGATGGTTGCCAACAGTGTCAGCGTCGGTCTTCCTCCTTTGATACAAAAAGAGTCTGGTTAAGTTTCGGAGTTCGACGAGTAAAGAAGTTTCCTGTTCTTTACTTCTATGGAAATTAGGGAAATCTCCGTCTCCGTTGTTTCACTCTGCACGTTCTAATTCTCGAACCCATTTCTAACCCCTAACATCGGGCTATGTTTTTTTTACCATATAAATCTCTCAACTATTTTTTATATAAACACCAGTGGAAATGCACGTGCGACACGCACGTGTCTAAAAAAAAAGTTTTTCCCGTAATAGGAGAAGTGTTGAGTTCATGACTAATACATTTTACAAAGACAAATACATATACTTACACAAGATTACAAATTCAACCCCTAAAGTTTATGAAAAAAATGTATCTTGTAGTTATATTAGATTAAAATTTTGAACCTAAATAATTTCCAATATATCAACACTGGGTTCATGGAATATTAATATACATTCAGCCAGCACTACACTCAGTTTCTTTTCTTATGTAAAATATTAAGATCAGTCAATCACCCTAATTAACTCTATATATATTAGCCTGCTATCATAAATATTTAAAAAAATGAGAAAAACGGTGTGTAAGGCAAATTGACTTCCTTGTCTTCTCCAAAATGCATAGCACGTTTCATCACCCCCTTGTTCCCCTATCCTCCTTGCCACCTTTACAAATTCCAATCAAGCAGGTCCAGGACTGCCGGTGGTCATCGTCTCGTCATTCACCTCAGCATCTCTACAACACAATCCATGTTGCCACATCCACAAGTACTCATTGAGGTCTGCTACTGCCTCAACATCAAATGTTATAAAAACTGAAAAAAGGACAATACAAATAACATATAACTCTACATGGTTATGTGTAAAAATAACATCAAAACTAATGTCTCTTTTAAAAAATGTTTAAAGCATAGTACAAACAAATAGAAAACAATATAAGCTGACAGGTCCCTATTAAAATTTTCACTTGTTCACACACACACACACACACACACACACACATTTCCAATTAAAAAACTCACGTCATTTATGATAAAAAAACAAATAAAAACTGTTCCATAACAAAGATACCAAAACTTAGAATAAAATCAATAAAAATTATGAAAGAATAGTTTAAAGTATATTCGAGTACTTGACATATGTAGTACATTTATCGCTCTTCATGTCTTACCTGACATCCTTGTCAAATTATATCAACACTAACATTAAAAACACTGGTACATTAATCATCACATAAAGCACATTTGTTAACACTAATACACATACTCCCTCCATCCCGTGTTTTACCCGGCGTGCACCCGTTTTTCAAATTGCCCACAATACCGGGCGGTGCATGTATGGGCGAGGCATCCGTCCTACTCCACGGGGCGGTGCATGCATGCCGAGGCAGCGGTCATTTACTCTTCCCCGGCAACGAAACGACGTCGCTGCATGCAAGCTAGGAGTAGTACTCCGTCCCCTTCTTATACACACTCTTCTGCGATTTTTTTTTTTTTTTTTGACTATGGTAATATTTGTTGGCCCTCCGAACAACTGAACCTATTGAAGAAACTAAAGTGTCAAAATTGTGATCTTCTACTATCTTTGACAATGAAAATTTGTTGCAACATTGACTTACCCGAGCTGCTGCCTTCACCCACAGGAGGAGCTTCATCAACGGCAATATCATCATTGTCATCGCCTTCCAGCTCTGTTTAAAGTAATGAAAAGATTATCATGTTATCAGGAGCTCTGTTTAAAAAAATGGTGCATAGTCCTGCAGCAGTCTCATGTACCTGGAACTTGATTCAAATCAGGCACCACTTCACATCCGGCTTGTACATTCAGATTGAGATCAGGCAGCTCAGGTGGTTCATGTTCAGCATGATCTGCAAAACAACGGCAACAAGATCAACAAAAGCAACGAGCATGAACTAAAGAACAGCGGCCACTCAACTTACCTTGTTCATTCTCTTGCCAGAACACAGGATTATCAAATTGAAACAAGTCTTCAGGCACCTCATCCCAATCAAGTGGATTGGGAAGGAACAACTCAACAACACTCTGCTGCCCTGGCGGTTCTGCCATGGTAGATCAAGCTCATGATAGTACGAATAGTGGTGAAGATAGAGAGTGATGCCCATAGCTATTTATAGAGCAGGTGCACAGCGGCGCTGGCTGCACCAGCTTCAGCTTGTTTAAATTTTGACATGGCGCCCAGATCTCGTTTTTGCGAATTGGGGAAGAGAAAAAGGCGGTACAAACTGATGGAGAGGAAAAGGGTGCTCAAATTTCGTTTTTGTTTCCATCGGATAGAAGGAGTAAACTGGGCTGCGGAATCCTAACCGAAAGCGGGATTAAGAATGACTCGTGGCCGGCGGCGCGGCGCGGCGCTATTCGCGACGTACGTACTTAATGCGCTTCGCATACCCCCGTGTAAGATAGATTACCATGAGTAGGCTCCAGGTGTTGCCTCTCTTTGGCATGGCGGCGGCCTGGCCAGTTGGGAGACTCTGAAATGGAGATCCTAACACTCTGCAAGACCACTACACTGGAAATTTCAGTTTCTCCTCAGATTATTTCGCTGTACAGAAGAAGCAGATTACAGAACTACAAATCTCACGATCGCAAGGTCCCAAACAGAGCGGACGATCCTGATCCTGCCTTGGTGGTGGCACAGAACCTGCAAGAATCTCACAGCAATAAGTGAATAGATTGGCTTCCCATCTGCAGTGGTTCAATGTAAACAAATCACCCACCTTGCGCTTCCTGTTCCGTGACAGGCTTCTTGTCCTCCCTAGATGAGGGTGTCGGTAATGGCATCAAGGTGGTTGCTGCCACAGCGAACTCCAGTGCAGTACCATTTCCTACTTTATGTCGTGAAGGCAAATATAAGAAATCCTGACGTGGAGTGATGAGACCAAAGAGGTCCGATTGCTGTTTGAGATTCTAAAACGTACATAGTTCCCAACACACCGCTGGTGTGTTTGTAATTGCTTTCTTCTTAATATAAAACCAGTGCAAACAGACCAAAGGTTTGCAAATTAAAATGACCCATTGCACAGAACTGTTGCAAATACTTTTGTACAACACTCGCATCATGGTGAGTAGTGAGTGATGATGGTGTGTTCCTTGAATACCTAAGCGGAACGAACTATGCAATGAATATATGTTCAACTTTGCATCTTATCAAGAATCGGATGTCGTCTTAGATATATAAATTTTGGATCTCATTGCTAGGCACTAGTGGAGGGACGGGCTTTACTCCTGGTGGAGAACCCCTGTAGTCCTGATTTCTCACCCGGGAGTAAACATCCGAGATTAAAGGGGGTCTTTTAGTCCCGGGTCAGGAACCGGTGCATAACACCAACCGAGACTAAAGGTCCTCCCAGCTTTAAAAAAATAATGCCTCCCACCGCTGCGTCCCGTGAGATTCGAACCCAAGACCTCATGCATTGCCTCGCGCGTAGCTTACCACCCCACCTACACAACACATCTAACCATGGATGGGATGCTTCCTTTTTAAACTAACCCATCGGGAGACCTTTAGTCCCGTTCGGTGTTACCAACCGGAACTAAAGAGTCCTTTAGTCCGGGTTGGTGTTACCAACCGGGACTAAAGGTTGGAGGACTTTTAGTCCCGGTTGGTGTCTTCAACCGGGACTAAAGGTCCCCTGCCACTGTGCCGAGCGCAGTAACTGTTGGGCAGGGACCTTTAGTCCCGGTTGAAAACATCAACCGGGACTAAAGGTCTCTCTAATCTCGGACGCAAAAAATACTGGAACTAGAGCCCATTTTAACTTCGGATGAAAGGTCTATTCTCTACTAGTGAGGAGATTGTCTGGCATGAACTGATGCTACCCTTTAGTCCACTGATCCGACTCAATCTTTAACGCGGATAATACACAAGAACACGGTTCAAGCTCTTCAGCAAGTTATTCTATCAGAGCAACAGCCAAGTGCCTAGTTGGCATCTACAACGTGATCCTTGCAATTGGTAGTCAGTAACTCGGTATGCAACATAAAATTTTAAATTTTGAATCTTGATCTACATTGCATCCAATCAAGAAACACACACAGTATATACAACTACAAGATCGCAGTTGCCACAATGAACAGAGCTTTGGAACTTATTATCTCTATCCTGCAGCAATGCAATGGAGGCGGGCAAGTCGACGTCGTCGTCCTGCAACGCGTACCGGCGGAAGCTGTCGCCGAGCATGCAGTCGCGGCGCAGCTGCGCGGGGGAGCCCCAGCTGGCGGCGAGGAGCGCGCCGTAGAGCGACGCCTCGCAGTGCGGCATGTAGGAGAACGTGGGCCCCTCCGCGCGCTCGGCGGCGGAGAGAACGGGGTCGAAGAGGTCCGCGGGGGCAGCGTCCGGGAGGAGGTCGCGGCGCAGGAGCGCGAGCTGGAGGCGCACGGCGGGGGAGGACTCGAAGCTGCCGACGCCGAGGAGGGAGAGGTGGGTGGGGCCGAGGCGGCGTCATATTGGGGATTGCAGGAGGAGGAGGCGGCGGCGGTACCGCGATAGAGGCGATGACGCGGGGCGTGGGCGCGCACGACGAGGCGGGAGACGCGAGCGGGGTCGAGGGAGGCGTCGGAGGGGGGCCACCAGGGGACTGGGGTCACGGGGAGAGGCGGAGGAGCGTCGGGTGGCAGGCGGTGGGTGGGCCCCGCCTCGTCGCCGGCCGCGGCGGCGGCGGCGGACGATGGTCCAGTCGCTGGCGGCAGGCATGGGTTGATTTGGGACTGCGAATCGGTGGGATGCTCTCAATCTCATGCCGTCTGATAGGAAAGGTCAACGGTCCAGATTTGGCGCGAAAGATTAGTTGGTGGATTAGATGGTGCTCTAGTTCAAGGTGATCTCTTGACTGAGAGTAACTCCTCTCGTGTATCTAAAGTTCTAAACTGTATTATAAATTCAGATATAGCTATTGTAGGCTAAAAATCGACACCAACAACATATCTTGAAAGTTCATCTTCAAAATTAGACGCTCTCTTGTTCATGAACTTGGGTCGCTAGAGCAAAAGAGCAAGATTAGTTGGTTCATGAACTTGTATTCTCAGTAGATATGTTTGTGAATTCTTGGTCATCTTGCAGGGAGTTGGAGTAGGGTTCCAAGAGGCTAAGGCGGGATGAACTTTTGGAAGCGGAAGTAGCAACCATGTTGAACCAATTAATGGAAGGCTTTGCTCTTCGGCGCAAAAGAAGGTTCGAAGATGTATGCTACTCCTGGCCGTCATAGTGATTGGGTGTTAGTTGAAACGCTAATGCTAGGCAGTGGACGTCCGTCCGCCCCGGACGCTTTGTTGGTAGACCGTGTGACGCCAACCTAACACTCATGCTCCTCTGTTTTTAAATAAAAAAAAATTCACTCGTCAATGTACTCGTTGCTATCTACTCACTTGCTTCTATCCGCTCATCTGCCGCCTCCGGTGCTCGACCGCTGGCCCAGCCAGTAGCGGGGCGCGACTGCCTTCGAGGTGCAGCGCTAAGCCGCCGACCCTGCCAGGCCACTCCTGCGCGCCACCGTCGCCATCCCCCATGGCGCCTCCATCCCCCGCCACGCCTGGGGTGCGCTGGCCCAGGCCGCGAAGCAAGTGCTCGCCCAGGGGTGCTCGTCGCGCCTTACGTAGGTGCTCATCCGGGCCGCCGAGCAGGTCCTCACCTAGGGGAGCACCAGCGAGCTCCATGCGCCCCGGCGACGTCGAGCTCCGTGATCCGTCCAAGCAGCAATATGACATTGCACACTGAAAATGCATATTGCAATAGTACGTTTCAAGTGTTTAAGATGTTTCAACGGGATGTTGTAAGTGTTTATTGTGGATGTTGCAAAAGTAAATCGAGATGTTGCATATGTTGCAATGGTTGTACACGCATATTTCAAGCTTTTGTTCCCAATGTTTCTCTAGACGTATGTTGCAAGTATGCTTATCTGAATGTTGCACGTGTTTCACACATATATGTTGCATATGTTTTACCTGGATGTTGCATATATTTTGTAATGTCATTTCAAACGTGTTCAGGTGTTTTTATAAGTGTTTCAGACGTATGTTGCAAGTGTTTTAACTATTTTTAACCGTATGTTGCAAATGTTTCATTTGGGTGTTCAAAAAGTAAATCGGGTGTTACATCTCCCTTCTCGTCTTCTGCTGCCTCGCGTTGGTGTTTCCTAGTCTTTTCGATGATGGTGATGTTCGGACGACGTGGGCCCGCGTGGGAGTGGACGATGTGGGTAAGGCGAGTCGTTCGAGCGTGTAACACCCCAAAATACGTTTTATATGTCAAGAAGCGTAGAATGGTAAAAGGTATGACGGTGGTTTTACAGAATGGCAAAAAAAATTTATACATAGCTCGGATGGACATTTTAAAGTTTGACCAAAATTTGATTTTTAGTGAAATAATTTGTATGGTGGATCAGAGTCCATGGATGCAAAGATCTCGTCAAAACGAATCTATTTGACTACTCATGTGCCTTGTTTGAAGTTTGGATCATAAAGCTATCAAATGGACATACGAGATTGGAAAAAATAAAGACAAACCCAGTGCTACAGTACTCGCCCCTCCCTCCACGTAGCCGCCTTCCCTCTTTTCCTCCCCATCACGTGATCTCCTTCCTCTCCACCATGGCAGCACCTCGTTCCACCTAGTCTCCCCCTCCAAAGGTGCAAGAAACTCTATAGTGGATAGCAAAACGGATCAAGGACGACGAGAAGATCAAGGAGAGGTACTAGATCGGTGAATTTTCCAACTTCTTCTCGCTGTTCTTCAAGAAGAAACCCTAGGCAAGGTTTTATCCTTTGCCATAGCACTTTATTTAAGGTGGATTTGGTGTGGTAGATCGTTGTAAAAAGGATTAGGGTTGACCTTTCAATGGTAGACCTCGGATCCATGTGTTTCTGCAGTTCTCAGATCTGGTAGTTTCTATTTCACGATAGTTTTGGTTATTTTAGAGGCCGAATTTATTTTTGAACTGAACTAGGAAGTTGTATAGAACTCCGAGATCTTTCCATGAAGTCCAAGTTCATGATTTTAGACCAAACAGTTTAGGAGATATGAAATTCTAAAGTCTACTGTACAAGTCTGTCAAAAAATCAGAGTAGTTTGGATCTAACGCCTTTTACACCCTCTTCCTGGCTGAATTGAGGCTTTTGATATGAATACAAGTTGTATGTATTTTGATGATCTTTCCATAATGATAAAGAACATAATTTTTGGTTACGTATAACTCCATATATGAATTTTGGAATTTGGCTGTCCTGTTTTACCGTAAGAAACATTCAGTAAAGTTCAGAGCTTTATTATGCGATGTTAGATGCTTCTAATGCAAATCTTTATTATACGAAAGTCATAGAGAATGGACATTTCTATGCTATGATAGAATTGCAGAATTTTTCGTTGGATGGCTTGAGAGATATGGTTTTGTTTAAAGAATGTTGCTGCTGCTAAAGGCAGAACATGTCTGTCAGTTTGTAGGCAGTTTTAGCAATAGTAGATGGCAAATTTTGAACTTTGTTTGAATACCAAAGTTGTAGCTTGTTATGTGTAGATGCTTGTAGAGTATTTACTTGCTATCATCGCTGTTACGGTTTTAAAGATACAACAAATCACAAACAGCGCTGCTGCAGTTTTATCAGGGTCAAGTGGGGGCTGTTTTTGCCAGTTGTTGGTGTGAACATTGTAATGCTTCATATATTGTTTATGAGTGATATTTGGAGTGTTTATGCCGAGTTAATTGTTCTAAAACAGGTGGTGTGCTTTGGATCATTCTTAGCTCACGTGTTTGATCTTCAATGAAGGCAAGTAAACGTAGCGGCGGTTTGCTATGGCTTGACATGTTATTTAATCTATCTACACATTGGCATAACATTAACTAAATCAAGGTAATATATCTATGTAAGAGGCCGGTTGGGGGAGGGACTCTAGGGGGCAGCGACTAGGGTTTAGGGGATGTGGGCATCGGCTGGAGGGAGGAGAGGCGGCGCTAGGCAGGGAGAGAGAGAGGGAGAGAGGCACAGGAGAGGAGAGGGGAAGGATAGGGATAAGCCTGAGGCTATTCTTTCTTAACCGTCGATGATTACAATGCTCCTGTATTTATAGTCCTGGATAGACTTGCATCACAAGTAATCTCATCTCATCTTATTTTCTAGATTGATCTTAGATTCTCTAGGATGTTAGCACTGGTGGCGTGGCGGAGGACTGCCGCACCACCCCTGGGTGCACCCCTCTGGTGGCGCGGTTAGCCAGGGTGTGGCTAGCTTGGGCCTCTCCTGGACCTGTAGTCCATCCTCCTGGACCCTCCATTAGGTTTATGACATCACTCCCCCCTTCTCCGATCAGCGCATCCTCGCGCTCAATCATTGTCTAGTCGGTGATGCCATCGACTGGAAGCTTGCTACCCCAAGGTAGAAACAAAGTCCAGGTGTTGATGTCGTTTGTTGGTGGAAGTTGTGTTGCAGAAATCGCCTCGAGCCAAACTAGTAGGCGACCGCGGACTGGATCAGCTCTTATCGCATTGTCGCCAAACATGAATTCACCACTGTTGAAGACGTCTAGGAAGAGGCTTGGTTGGTCGGAGTTATAGCATAGATCGATTTCGATGTTCCCGACGTGTAGTAGTTGGCGGTCGAGGTCATCGAGGAAGATGATCGTTGTTGACGAAATGATGCCCTGTGGCCATGGGTGCTCTAGGAGTATGGCTGATGGAGAAGCGTTGTGGTCTGGTGTTGTTGGCGGAGGATGTAGACCAAGTGCCAGGAGCCTTATGTTGGCTGGTCCGCGGGTAACAGTGCGTCCAGCAGGTCCACCAGGAGCGGTGAAGTTGCTGGGATGTAGGAGTGCCCATCGAAGAGGAGGGGTCCATGGTTGATGGACCAAGCGGGTGCCGCCATGCCATTGTTGATGTCAGTGGCGATGTGGCGCAGCTTCCGCTATTGTAGTACGGTCTAACGAAGCTCGTTCAAAACTGCCCCCAGGTGCTGATGTAGTCAAGGACGTTGGGGTAGTGTGGCCTTCTTGCTCGGCTCATGACACTATAGAAGAAGCGGTGGTGATGGTGACCGTGGTGTAGCTGTATGATGGCGAGACGCTAGTGTGATGGCCGGTGGTGCCGGTAGCGCGTGGACGGTCGGTGGTGCACGTCGGCAAGGACGATGGTGAAGGAGATTGTGCGCTCGTCCCTTTGGAACTACATCACCCTAAAAGTGAAATCCCACGGGTTGCGCTCGATGTTGGCCAACCATGGCGTCCTGAGGATGACGTCGGTGTTGTTGTCGATGTCGAGGATGAAGGCATTGGTCTGGAACGTCTCTGCATCAATGCGGAGTGGTATGTCTCCTATGCCAAAAATTTCTCCTACGAGGCACGTGGTTTGCCAGCCGTGCACAGCTGATTGCGGAACGCCAATCACCATGAGGAAGCTGTTGTCAGCGTCGTTGTTGTTGATGAGCGTGATGTAGAGGTTGTTCTCGCGTTTGTAGTTGTGGATGCGGTGCTCATTGTAGGCGATGTAGATGCTGATCTACCATCGC